GAGGGATTGTCCATGATTGCCAGCAGTTTTGCCAGCATCCTCTCCTCCACCACCTCCTCCAGGGTGACAAGCTTAGAGCCAACAACAGACTCTGCCTTTTTTCTGCCTTATTTAAGAGAAATATTTGTAAATTCAGACATTTTGAAAATGTCCAGTAATGATATATATATTAGTTTTGTCTCTTTATAACCAACAGAGGGCTGCCATGCACTATGTTAACAACATTACCTGAACTTTCTGCTTCTGGTTTAGATTGACAGAGGACTACTCCGGCAGTGACCTCACCTCATTGGCTAAAGATGCCTCCCTGGGACCAATCAGAGGTGAGTTACAGTCTTCAAGTCAAACCTTAAAAGCTAGTAAATTGTGTTTAATTTGAATTTATGAAGGCTAAAATTTAACAGCTATTTTTTGTGTTTTCTTCTTCTCTTTAAATTTTGTATCATATGGTGTATCTAAGTCTGTTTTAACCACAAATTGAACTGCTTTACGGTCGCCTTAAAGGTTTTATGAAGTATGAAATATTAACCCTCCGATATCTGCAGACCTGAGTGAGACTGCAGCCTCACTATATTGTTCTGATGAAGGAACAGAAGTTATGTTTGTTGTTTGTGTTTCGACAGAGTTGCGTCCAGAACAAGTGAGGAACGTGAAGGTCAGCGAGGTGAGTTCACTCCACTGCAGCTGATGATGTAATCATGTGATCAACCAATCACTGATTAATTATTGTCTGAATTGATTCTCTTTTACTGGGGTTCTGTTAATATCACTGTGTATTACAGGTCCACTCTAATACTTGGGGGTTGGTTGTGTTTCATTCAGCGAGACAGTTGGAAAACAAAATAAAATCAGCAAGTACTCAAAGTGACCAAGTTTAGTTTCACTGTCAGCTGATGAACTTGTATCTCCAGTGTTCCTCATTAAACAGTGTATAAACTCTGGAGCTATGTTCTATAGTTAATTCAATCAATAACCTATAATCAATGGCATCTTATCCCCTTGGCGCATGCATCAGTTTGAAGCCACATGTTTACCATCCATGCTTTTTAACTCTAGATTTGAAATGATGAAGAATTTTAGTCATTGGACGTCTTCTGCTTTCTCCACAGCTCCGAAACATTTGTTTTGGAGATTTTGTAGAGTCTCTGAAGAAGATCCAGAGAAGTGTCAGTCCGCAGACTCTGCAGGTTTACGTCCGCTGGAACAGAGACTACGGAGACACTACGGCTGTGTGAACTACACAAACTGACTTCTTTTTGATGTACAGCAGTTTTCTGAACCTTTGTACCAATGTTTCTACACAATAAAGAATCTTCATCTTGTATATTTTGTTTCACAGACATTTTAATATTAACTGTATGAGTGAGGATAAAAAACTGCCCTTTATTTCAGTTTTTTGTGTCTTTGTGTTCAGACTCCATTAAACACCGATTGATTTTACAAGTTTGGGTTATTGCTTCTCCTTTATTTGTGTACCTCCATAAAGTTGACTGATACAGACGATCAAGTCTGGGTAACACCTGAATTCAGCTGTTCTCGTGACCGACAGCCACAAACATCAGTGAAGGATCACAAGTCAGAATGTCCTTCACAAACAAGGCAGAAGAAGAGAATGGACTGTCAGGCCGGTACATATATTCCAGTAATGTTACACACTGGAGCTTTAACACTGATGCCTCTATATGACCTGCATAAACAAACAAGACCATCAACAGGAGGATTGATGTGGTAGTTATTCTTAATGCCTGTCCATCCCTGAAAATAGATTGGCTACCCCATTATCCTTCCGTCTTCCAGAGGCTGTAGAGGGCTCCATTTTAAAGCTAGAGTTAAATTATGGTATCATATGAAACCTACTTGCCTGAAGAAGGAAGTTAAATAATGCTCCAAAGTTAGGCAAAATTTTGGCAATGGAAAAACTTGTTTGCTCAAGAGGTCAGAGGTCAAGAAGTCCCATGCAGTTTAGGGTAAATACCACGTGTTATTTTAGTGTATATGAGTATTTCTGCATACTGGACTCCATAAGCAGTATTGGAATTCTACAAACTGGGAATGACTGGAAAGCTGAGACCGTTCCTGCCACCTGAGTGTCCGACGAGTGCCACCCCAGAATGACTGCAGGTTCATCCAGAACGCAGTCATTTTTCCCTGCAGGTTATAAACAGTGCAGCCCTGAAAGAACCAGACAGACCGAAAGCTGTACAGCTTAACGCTGTTACTGACTCACATCCATTCCTGTTCCCACAATCCACTCTCATGGTGTTTGTTCTCTTTTTATGACGGATAGTTACGCCTCATCCTCTCTTTGAAGTTGGGAACACTGACACCCGCTTTGACACAAGGGGGAGACGGTGGCTCTTATTTGTGGGGCCCTACAGGGTAGTGAGTGTTTAGGGCCGACCGGCTCTGGACTGAATATACTGTATATATAGTGTAAACGTAATCAGAGAGATATCGTGTCTGTGTGTGTGTTTTGTGCTGTATTTGTACAATAACAACCAGAATGAAAACCTATGAAACAAAGAATTTGTAGAGATTTAATGGAAATTAAATATTTAAAAACTTGAAACAGAAATGACATCAGTAAATAACGTGTATATACTGTATGTACAGTACAGTACACACACACACACACACAGAAATAACTTACTAATGAATATTATATTGCATTTTTGACAACAGATCGTCCTTAAAGTTTCACACTGGAGTTCTACAAGGCAGTAACCTGACAGCTCACACTTCCTGTAAAAGGAAACACTTTACCATGTGACCAACCATGTGAACATTAGCAGAGCAGCAGAGATCATAACCACACTGTTTCTTTCTTTTCTTATATCCTGGAACAAAACTTATTTCCTCTTTTCACAACTCTTTGTCATGAAGATAGTCAACTGTCAACTGTGTCAGTCTGAAGAGAATCAATGAGACGGTGAGTGTTAAATGTTAAATGTTCAGTTGCAGAGTTTATATGTCTGTGTGTGTGTGTGTAACAGTACCTTTGGTTGGTACAACAGTGGTGTAAAGGTGCAATCAATTTCCATCGAAGGTTTTCTTCTGGTTGTTATTGTACAAATACAGCACAAAACACACATGGACACATGACATCTCTCTGATTATGTTTACACTATATATAGAGAATATTCAGTCAGTTATTATAACACAGTGTCAATGAAGGGAACATTACCTCTGTACTGTTATATATATTTATCTGAATGCATTTTAGTGACAGGATGTGGAAACCAGACAGCTCACACTTCCTGCCAGATATTACCGTGTGAAAGTTACGAATATATATATGCTAAATGGACCTGTACTTGTATACCGCATGTTTATTTATATATATATATATATATATATATATATAATATGGCATGCCGTTTAGGAAATT